TGGGTGCGGGGGGAGGGGATGGGATCCATGGGATGGGATCCATGGGATGGGATGGGATCCATGGGATGGGATCCATGGGATGGGATGGGATCCATGGGATGGGATCCATGGGATGGGATCCATGGGATGGGATGGGATCCGTGGGATGGGATCCATGGGATGGGATGGCATGGGATAGGATAGGATGGGATGGGATGGAATCCATGGGATCCATGGGATGGAATGGGATAGGATGGGATCCATGGGATGGGATGGGATCCATGGGATGCGATCCATGGGATGGGATGGGATCCATGGGATGCGATCCATGGGATGGGATGGGATCCATGGGATGCGATCCATGGGATGGGATGGGATCCATGGGATGGGACCGGCTGGGATTGCCCGGCTGCTGCAGCGCCTCCAGCCCCTCTCACCAAGCTGGCTCCAGCCCTTCCAGCCCCTCTCACCAAGCTGGCTCCAGCCCTTCCAGCCCCTCTCACCGAGCTGGCTCCAGCCCTTCCAGCCCCTCTCACCGAGCCGGGCTCCAGCCCTTCCAGCCCCTCTGTGCTGTCCTGCCTTCTCCCAGCAGCTGCTGCAACCCCGGGGAACCACTGAAAGGTGTGACCTGATGCTCTGAAATTTGGTGTTGGGGCTTTGGCCACAGACCTCCCCAGGGTCAGCAGAACAACTTGTGTTCTTTGTCTTGCTGCTCTCTGCTCTCACCTCAGTCATGGCAGCTCCTCCAAGCTCCATTTAATAGAGAATACAGGGGGAGTGGCTCTGTCCCTCCCTAGGAGATGAGCTGTGGGCTGGGGTCAGCCGGCTGGGACTGCTCTGCTTTGCTCTCAGTCCTCTGTTCTTCCTCCATATCCTTGTGCCTCATTCCCTTGGAGTTTGCCAGGCAGCCTGTCAGGACTGGTGCAGTTCTGCTCCCTCTTCTCTCCCTTTATCCAAAACACATCAGCAAAGCTCCCTGTGCATCATTCTAACAATTAACTTTCTGCTCTTCAGGTGGGACCTGGTTTTCTGCTGAAAGCCATTGGGTCCATCGATGCTCACAGGAGAACCTGCAGCAAGTTCTGACATTCTTGGGCTTCCCTTGGCTCGTTTATTGGCACTGAGCTGTGTAACTGGGCAGAGCCTTGGCCTGGGACAAGGGTTACCTCAGATAAGAAATGAGGTGCCTGATCTCAGCTGGAGGAGCAGATGCCAGCGCTCTGAGATAAGGAACAGAATGATGCACCCCCTTTGCTGCTTTTTCTAGACCGTTTTTATTATTCAAAGATGGAGGAAAAAAGAGCCTGGCCTTTAACAACCTCTTTTCAGTTTGACCCATGTTCCCTAAAAACAGGCTGTGTCAGCTGTGGTGTAACAATTACTGCAACTTCTGTGCCACCCCAGGCAGGACTGAAACTGGGCAGGTTTTGTTGATTGTCATGGCAGGACTCAGCAGACCAAATTAATGTAGAATCCACCTACTATTTATTATTATTACTCATGAAAATGTGACAACACTGGCTGAAGCACAAGCTGACCAGACACAAGTTTAGTTTGGATGGACAGACAAGACAAAGTGAGATTGTGAGCTGCTGGATCATGAACAGCAAAGAACACATCCTGGTTTTCAATCAACTCAACCAATCCTCATGTTAAAAAACCCCAAACTAGACAAAATTTCCATCTTCTGTGTTTAGAAATGATATTACATAAAGACATATTCACATGCAGCTTTAGAGCAGCTTCAGACCCACAGGTTGCTGCAGTTTCCCAAGAGTTTCTCAGCAAAGCCAGGTGCTTTATCCATGGTCTGGTAGCCAGTGGCAGGTTCAGCCTTTATTTATGACTGTGGGTCTGTTGTTTGCTCTGTAAGAGCTGGGTCTGGTTTTCTGCACAGGATATAGGTCCTTAAAATGAAAAGGTACGTGGTTTTGAACTTCTTTATCTTGTAGGCATAGACAATGGGGTTCATGGCAGAATTGGCATGGGATAAGAGGATTGCCAAGTACACCAAATACGGGGGGATGTGAGACTTGGGGTAAAAATAGGAAATGCAGTTTATAATGCACAGAGGCAGCCAGGAGATTGCAAACAGGAAAAGAACAAGTGCAAGAGACTTGGCTGCCTTGAACTCCTGGCCATAGAAAGCCCCAGCCCCTCTCCCACCGCTCCCTTGGCTGAGCTTCGTGCGGATGATGTAGAAGATCTCGGCGTACAGAGCACACATGATGAGCAGGGGCACCAGGGTCCAGGTGAAGAAGCAGAAATACACCATGTAATCCATCCTCATCACAGAGATGAACTGGCACCTGGAGGAGCTGGAGCTCCTGGCATCTGCCTTGCTCCAGCCAAACATGGGGATGAGCCCTCCCAGCAGGGACAGGAACCAGCACAGCCCCAGGGCCCACCAAACTCTCCTCTCTGTAGTGATTCTTTTGTATCTGCAGGGGAAGAAATCCCAGGTCGTGTTAAAGAGAAGTGCTTTAAAGTAGTCAAGGATGAACTCACCTGTTCAGGTACTGCAGGATCATTGTTAGAAAGTGAAGCATTAACTTCTTTTTTTAAAACCAAATTTTATCTTGCCCCAAACTCCAGCTCTTCATTTGTAACAGTTGCTTTGCAGCATCAGTAAGAACTGTGCTCAAGTTCCCTTGTTAAAATTGGATGTTTGATCTATTTTATTTCTTGTTTCATTATGATCTTAGTTCTCCTCTTGTCAGGATATTGCTTTGCTGCTGTTGGAACTCCTATCTTATTTCTTGGCTTCCTTGGGTGTACCTTCCTCTTTTTATCTGGTTTATGCCATTTGTGGGGCTAAAATTCATTCTTTAGCTTCATTCATCCTTTCCCATTATAAAATACGATTTCTTGGATGCTTGAGGTTAGGCTTTGCTTTTCTAGCTTGTGTACTTATCATCTAAATGTAACCAGTGAGTGATTTCAGTTAACTGTTAATAAGTTTGTTAATACTTTTGTATTTTCAGCAAATACTGAAAAGAATTTTATTTAAAAGACAAGCCTCAGAAACCTAAAAAAAGCCCTGTAACACACTCAGCATCCTGTGAAATTAACCAACATGCTGAAAATTCAACAGTCTGCCCACAGATACATCCTGTGACCAATTCTGATCAGTGGTAACACCAGAGAACACCGAGCTGATCATGAGCACCCCCGGGTTTTTGGGGAGCTCATCTCAGGTGGGCTTTGAGGCACAAGCATCCACTTCGAGCAGTTAAAGGTTAGGAAGGAGGACAGAGGAGGTGGGGCAGGGGCTGGGCAGAGCCCAGGGGTGGGGCAGCCTCACCTGGTGGGGAGCTTGACTCGCAGGTACCTGTCGATGGCGATGGCCAGCAGGGACAGGATGGAGGCGTTGGTGAACACCACCATCAGGCAGCACATGAACAGGCAGCTGGAGGAGGGCACGCTGATGCCCAGGCTCACCACGATGGCCAGGGGCATCACCAGGAGCCCCACGGCCGTGTCGGCCAGCGCCAGGGACGCGATGAAATAGAGCGTGGTGTTCTGGAACGCCGCCTTCAGCCTCACCACCCACATCACCAGGACGTTGCCCAGCGTGGCAAACAAAGCCACCAGGCACTCGGTGCCGATGTAAATCCCATCCAGGCTGCTCAGGGCCAGGCTGCTGTTTGGCATCGTGGGCTGCTGCAGCTCTGCCATGAAACGCCTCGCATCTCGCATCGATGGCCACGTGTGGGATCCCCAGCTGCTGCTGCTCGCCTCTTCCAGGGGTTCTCCAACATCCAAACCTCCGAGCTGTTTCATGTCCTCAGCACTCGGGCAGCAAATCACCCGCAGACATCTCAGCATCCAGCTCCCCTCCCTGGAGGCCCCTCCTGAAGCTCACTGCATCCCTTCAGCAGCCCAGGGTCAGCAAAGTGCCTTGGGAAGTTGTTCTGGAATGAAAATGTGGGAAAGCTTCCACAGTCCTTCTTACCAGCAACTTACAAAGAAATAGTTTTCCAGGTTCCTCTTTCAAGCCGTTTTACAAGTGCAGAAATGTCAGCAGCAGTTGGCTGCGAAGCTGCTTCTTATCAGTCCATCTCTGCAGTCACTGTCACAACCCAGGCAGCTCAGGGGGGTTGGGGGGAGCTGCGCTAAAATCGAAAGGCTCCCGGCTGAAGATAAGGACAGGGAGAGGTCACTCTGCCGCTACCAGCATGGGGAAACCAGACTTGACTCGGGGAAAAAGTAATTCCCAACCAAATCAGAGCAGGAGAACGCAAACGGAGCTGCAAAGGCAGAGGTGCTGGGGCAGAGGCTCCGGCTTGTGAGGCAGCCGGAGCTGGGGATAGAGCAGCCCCCGTGCAAGGGCCGATGGCAGCAGCACTCGGATTTAACAGCCCTGGATCTCTCCCTTTGCCCCAAAGGCAGGTGCTTTCCGTGCGGACACAGCCTGGGGCCAGCTCGGGGGAGGTTCCGCCCAGCACCCCCCGTTCCCAGCGGGTTCCTGCCGGGACAGGCACAAAAGGTGCTCCGATACCCTTCAGGTGCTTCCTCAGCAGGCAGCATCTGTTTCCTGTCCTAACCGCGACAGGGCCGGGCTGCTGTGGCTGTCACCGGGGGAGGACGAGCCCTTCTGCTGTCCCCAGCCCTGGGTATCCCTTCCCCGGGCCCCGCATCCCCGCATCCCCGCATCCCCTCATCTCCTCATCCCCACATCCCCTCATCCCCACATCCACTCATCCCCACATCCCCTCATCCTCTCATCTCCTCATCCCCGCATCTCCTCATCCCCGCATCTCCTCATCCCCTCATCTCCTCATCCCCACATCCCCTCATCCCCACATCCACTCATCCCCACATCCCCTCATCCTCTCATCTCCTCATCCCCGCATCTCCTCATCCCCGCATCTCCTCATCCCCGCATCTCCTCATCCCCGCATCTCCTCATCCCCGCATCTCCTCATCCCCGCATCTCCTCATCCCCGCATCTCCTCATCCCCGCATCTCCTCATCCCCGCATCTCCTCATCCCCGCATCTCCTCATCCCCGCATCTCCTCATCCCCGCATCTCCTCATCCCCGCATCCCCTCATCCCCGCATCTCCTCATCCCCTCATCTCCTCATCCCCACATCCCCTCATCCCCACATCCACTCATCCCCACATCCCCTCATCCTCTCATCTCCTCATCCCCGCATCCACTCATCCCCGCATCCCCTCATCCCCGCACCTCCTCATCCCCTCATCTCCTCATCCACTCATCCCCGCATCCCCTCATCCCCTCATCTCCTCATCTCCTCATCCCCGCATCCCCTCATCCCCGCCCGGGGACACTCGGTCCCTCCGCAGCCGCCCCCGGGCTCTGCGAACGCGGCCCCGGAGGTTCCCAGGGCTGCCCAAGCCATGAAAGGCTCTGCGGGAGCAGAAGGGGCTCGGGGTGTCGCGGGGCTGCGGGGAGGCTCCGGACACCGGGAATTCGGGGCTGATTCGGCTTTGGGCAGCTCCGGGAGCCGGGATGGGAGCCGGGCCATGGCACGGTGGGATGGGGTTAAAGGCTTTCGCATCCCGCTCCCCGAGCACTTGATGGTTTTGCCATTTAAAGGCCGTTCTCGGCTTGCTCGTTTCTTGGATGGCTCCGGAGAAAGGCTTCCAGCTCTTCCCGAGGGATCCTCCTACATCCTGCTGAGATAAGGATCAGGAAGGGAAGGTCTCTGCAATCTCAGCTGCGGCTTTGAGCACAGATTCCCTTTTCAGGGGCGGAGGGGAGGAGAACAAATTTGCTAGAAAAAGATTATTTCTAAGTGACACACAGAAAAAAAAAAAAAAGAAATCTCGCACAACAATGATCTTATGGGGTGAGTCAAGCACAGCCACGTCTGCCTTTGTCCTGGCGGGGCTGTAAAACCCTTGCAGGGACACAGAGCAGCTCCTCCAAGGCAAAACCCCCGTGAGCTGTCCCCGAGGCTGGGCTCACACAGTGCCAGACTGTCCCAGCCACAGCAGCGTCCCCTCTTTCCTTCCATCCCTGCTCCTGTCACAGGAGACACGGACGGGTTTTCTTTCCTGGATTTCAGAATTTCGTGTTTACAGGAAAAAACCCCAAACAACTCCAAAAGCGAGCGGTGGCGAGCTCTGTCCTGGCTCTTCCGTGCCTGGGGAGGAAGCGAAAGGCACAGAGGGGATGTGACTGGAGCAGAATCAGGGCGGGTGTGACACAGCCATTGTGGGCTGCTGAGCTGGGAGCCTGAGTGAGAGGCTGGAGTGGGGACAGTGCCTCTCACTGCCTCAGTTTCCCCTGGTGTGGGGACGGTGTCTCTGACTGCCTCAGTTTCCCCTGGTGTGGGGACGGTGTCTCTGACTGCCTCAGTTTCCCCTGGTGTGGGCACAGTGCCTCTCACTGCCTCAGTTTCCCCTGGTGTGGGCACAGTGCCTCTCACTGCCTCAGTTTCCCCTGGTGTGGGCACAGTGTCTCTGACTGCCTCAGTTTCCCCAGCCGTGGTAAAAGGAGGGTTGATCTGGTCTACACAGAGCTGGGAAGGGCTGGACAGGAGCAGGACCCTTTTGGTTTCCCTCTGAAACTCCTCATTTGGGATTTTTTCACCTTCCCCTCCAGTGGGGGCACAGGGATGTTGGAAAACCACTGCTGGTATTTCTCACAGATGCAAAAACCTGGAGAAACCCCTCCTCTGGCACACACACAGCTGTGCTGAAAGGCAAAGTTCACTGTCCTTAGAATGCAGGGCTGGTTCCAAAGATGACTTCAACCGCTGTCAAGAGCAAATTGTCAGAGGAAAATCAGATCTGGAAAGCTCTTCTTCCCTTCCACATCCCATTCCCTGAGCCTGAACTGTGCTGGGGCTGGGATTCTCCCGTGGCTTTGGGTTTCAGAGCTGTGTTTGCTGGTCCTGCTGAGCTGGTCGGGCAGTGCAGGGCCCGAGAGGGAGGAGCTGGGGCTGACAGACCAGTATGGCCCAGTGGCTTTGCTGGGCAGACTGGTGGGATGCAGCAGCCGGAGCCAGCCCTGGAAGCCCGGCTACAAACAGGGCAGGAGCACGGGGACAAATGATTATTTTGTGTGGTTTTAAAAAGAACTGCGTTACAACTGGAGCTTTTTCCAGTTGTGTCTGGGTGTGGCTGGGAGCAGCTGAGCAGGGGCACAGCCGCTGGCACAGGGCCCCGTTTGATGCCAGCTCCACTCACACACACAGGAACCTTCCCTGCCACAGGGAACAGCCATTCCCGGGTTATCCAGTTCTTCCTGCCCCACTCTGCTCCTGCCCCACAGCCCCCGGGGCGGGGATGAACGCTGGCTGTGCTCGGCTGGCTGGGGAAATGCAGCTTTTTGGAATATTTCATCCCAGAGCTGCTTTCCCAGCTTGCTGCAGACATCTCCCAGCAGTCTGGAGAGCCACCTCCGGCGTGTGAGGAGAGGAAATCACCTCGCTTTGTGTTTCCCAGCCTCCCTGGTCAGCTCTGCCCGGCCCTGGGAGGTGACAGCACATCCAGGATCCCACTGGAGGCTCCTCTGAGCAGCACAGAACTTCCCATCCTCATCAGAGACTCTTTTAAAATTCCATGGAAATGGCATACAATAAATCCTGGGGAGATGAAAGGGAGGTTTGAGCTGGCAGGAGGTTCTTTAGAGAGGCTCTATTTACACAAATTGTCTGGCTGACAGGAGAGAAACTGTTTTGACATTTTATAAACTCTTCCACTGATAATTTTGCATCTCAGTACAGCAAGGCTGGGGGAGGCAGGACAGGGAGAAACAACAAAGCCAAGGCCCTGAGCTCCCTTCCCAGGTCCTGTTTTTGAACACCAGCAAACGATTTAACTGCAGAGCACTGCAAGGGCTGCCTTTCCCTGAAGAGAAAGGGAGGAAAGTGCCATTAGCTCACTGATGAGCATCCTCGGGAGGGGACGAGTCACCCGCTGCCACTGCCCTGCCTGTCCCCAGGGCTTGAGAACACGGGTGTAAAACACATTTAGCAGCTTCTCCAAATCAGTTTGTCTCCAATAAAGGTTGAGTGGACACTGCCAGAAATGTGTGGCCCTATCAACTACAATAAATATATCTGATTGATACAGAGTCACTGAATTACTCTGAATTTTGAGCGTTTAGTGGCATCTCAGGCTACAAATGTCCCAGATTAAATTAATGTTACCAAGGTATTTCCTACGATTCCTAAGATTTTGGGTTATCCTGTGCAGAGCCAGGAGCTGGATTGATGATCTTGTGTGTCCCTCCCAGCTCAGGGTAGTCTATGATTCTATGAATATCTTGCTGTAATTTATTTATGAATCGTGACTCACTCTCTGACTGGCATCGTGGACTAATTCATCATTGTCAGCATGACTGGGGGGGGAACTTATATTTCCTCTGGATATCTTTTAAGTGCTTTTTTCCTGCCTTTATTTCCCTAATCAAACCAAGATCTTATTTATAGCGCTGCCGCCTCTGTCTGGGTAAGCCCAGAGTGGCCCCAATGGCTTAACAGGATTTATTTGCTGCAGCTTTTCCCGGGTGTAATGAACAGAGGGATTTGCTCCTGTGGCTGCACTAATCCCCTCGGAGGTGCAGGCAGAGGCTTTCCCCTGAGGAACTGCGATTCCAAGTGAACAAATGAAACCCCTGGGAGGGGAAGGAGGTGATGGAGGGGAGTGCTCCCAATCCCTGCGCTGATCCCACATTTCCAGAGCTGCCCCTGGCCCTGCAGGGATGCTCGGTGCTTGGAGCAGGGCAGGAAGGAAGGAGGCTCCATTCCCACCTCAGCCCTGGCACAACCAAGGACACTCACACACAAAGGTGCCGGCCAGGAAGGAAAGCTCTTGGGCCTTTCTTTGATCAAAGATGGACTGAAAACAAACATTTTCCAGGGAAGTGGTCCTGAGAGGAGCCCGGAGTGTCCCCAGGAGCTCAGCTCCAGCAGCAGGAAGATGAGCTGGAGGCAGCCGGGCTCTGGGGGCCAGCAAGGTCCAGGTTTGCCAGGGAAGCTCTTTAGGAAGGAAACATTGTTTATACCTTTTTATTTTTAATGTATGTATATTTGGATCTAACCTTTTCCATGATGGATGGCAGAAATCAAGGCCTCTTTTGTTCTACAATTAACTCGGAGATGATCTTTGGTTCCTTAGCGGAAAAAAATGAATTTATTTTTCCTCACAACAAAACACACACAGAACTCTCATTGCTGTAGAAAACTGTTTTGTTAATGACACTTATTGCCAGGATTGCTGCCCTGATCTGGGGGGAAATAAAGTATTCTTAAACA